AGCGAAACTCCGTCTAAAAAAAAAAAAAAAAAAAAAAGGTTGATGGGGTTGTAAGCACTTAGGATTAAGGTACAGTATTCTTTAACTCAATGATCATGAACCCTGAGTCTCTGACATCTCAGGGGTCTCCGATCTCCAACCACATTGGGAAACTAAAAAATTTAAAATTTACTCACATTCAAAAACTGAGTATATGCTTTATAGTGCTAGGAGGGTGTCACATAATAGAGCTTTGAGCATGCTAGCCAGGTGAATGAGGCCTGAGGATGTGAGGCATTCCATTAAGCTGCATGACTGCAGGGTGTCTTTAACGAAGTTCTGTTCTGTCTTGCACACTTGGCTAGAGTCTAGCTGTTTACGTGGAAAGGGCAAGAGAAGAATTACAACCCCATTTTGCATGGCTCTTTCAAGGTGGCTTGTAGAATGTTCTTTTGGCTAAGATTTACCTTGATTTGTTTTGTGTAAGCAGAGTATGATCCCTGTCTTAGTTATTTGGGCTGTTATAACAAAATACCATTGAGCGGGTGGCTTATAAACAATAGAAATGGATTTCTCACTGTTCTGGAGGTTGGAAGTCTGAGAATAGGGTACTAGTGTGTTGGTTCCAGTGAGGAACCTCTTCTAGGTTGCAGACTGCTGACTTCTCATTATCTCCTCACATGGAAAAAAGAGGGCAAGAGAGTTCCCAGGAGTCCCTTTTTTAAGGGCATTAATATCATTCATGCAAGCTCTACCCTTATAACCTAATTACCTCCTCAAAGCCCAGCCTCCTAATGTCTCAAATTCCTGGCTACCCTACACCTCCTAATATCATCACCCTGGGGATTAGGATTTCAACGTAAGAATTTGGCAGAGACACAAACATTTAGTCCATTGCAATCTTTTACCAATTACAGACTCCAAAACGCCCTGCAGGCTTCGTGTTCATTCGGAGTTTTGGGAAAAATGATTAAAATGTTATTTAAGTCTATAAATAAAACCCAGAGCAGATAAAAGTTTTTGAAGCTCTCAGCACAACCCAGATTGGTTGAAGTAGAATCAGGCTCTGGCAGCTGACTCCTAAACTCCTTTCTTCAGTTGCTTTGGAAATATTGCCCTCATGTTGCTGTTGAGACAGAGGCTCCCACAAGCTTTACGGTTTGCAGAAAGTACCCTTATTAAAACTGGCAAACTTCCCTCTCTGCCTTTAATGTCTCTTATGTGTGCATTCTTCCTTGTTTCTTTTGGCGTGCTTTTGGAAACTGCTTTTTGACATAGCTGTGGGGGTAGTAATACTGGTTCTAGGTGCTTTTTTTTTTTTTTTTTTAAAGGGGACTGAACTGAGCCACACATACAGCTCTTGGCTTTAAAATTTGAGGCGACAGAGCATTTGGGAGTTCTCTGTAGTAACTTAAAAGTGGGAAGCTGGCAGAAGTATGCTTGACCAGGGTCTGCCGGGAAGGAGAAACTATCCTTCAGCAGATGCAGTCTTTGGAGAGCTTTCCTTACCACATCATGTGGTTTGAACCTGAGGGTGTGCATGCTGTCAACATGTCTAGCAAGTCTGGGCGAGTTCTTGCTGTGTTAATAATCGGAGTTATTTTTTTCTTTTGCTCAACCTTACTTCAGAGTGACTCAAGTCTAGTGTGTTCCCGTTATCTTCAGTACTGCAGAGCAACCAATCTTTACCTTGATTTAAGAAACATCAAGAGAAATCATGACAGGTATTTAAGTGGTTAAAGTTAACATCTAATAGAAATTCTGAAATATTTTCAGATCCAGGGATTTTTTTTTTTTTTTTTTTCTGAGACAGGGTCTCGCTCTGTTGCCCAGGCTGGAGTGCAGTGGTATAATCATGGCTCACTGCAGCTGTGGGCTCCCAAACCTAAGTGATGCTCCCACTTGAGCTTCTCAAGTAGCTGGGACTACTGAAGTACACCACCAGGCTTAGCTAATTTTTTAATTTTTGAAGAGATGGGGTCTCTTAATGTTGTCCAGGCTGGTCTCAAACTCTTGAGCTCAGGTGATCCTTCTACCTCAGCCTTCCAAAGTGCTGGGATTATGGGTGTGAGCCACCAAGCCTGGCAGAAGGGATATATCTTGAATTTGTTTTTGACAATATAGCAGAGGGGTTGAGGAATGGCTGAGGGATAGATGACTCAGGCTACCAGTTGATTGTATTGCAAAGTTGGGTTGTGGGTATATTAGGTTCCTGATATGATTCGGTTACTTTCATATACCTTTGAAATTTTCTATTATCAATAGTTAAATTCTTTTTAAAAATTGAGTTTGGAAACTGGTAATCCACTTTAGTTACAACCTGTGTGCTTGGGTCATGAAGAAGTTTTCTGAACTCAACTTAATGTTTTGTTATACACCAGATTTAAGGAGGACTTTTTCCAGAGTGGTGAAATTGGAGGGCACTGTAAACTTGACATCCATACGTTGATGTCTGAAGATCAGCGCAAAAGCCCTTTGCAGTCATGGTAAGATATTTTTAACATATCTGTTTCAGAAATATTTGCCTTTATTTTTGTCACTTGGAGATACTAATGGGACTCTCAAATGGAAAATGTTTCTTCATTTGTATATAATTTGGCATGAGCTTCTGGGAAGTGACAGTTGCATCTAAATTAAATATGTTTTTATGATGGTAAATATAATACTGTTTGCTAATGAAAGAAAAATATCAGCTCAAAAATTTGTTTTTACTAACTCGCAATTATTGCGTGTGTTTTGGGGTACACATTTAAAAAATAGTACACATATATTAAAATATGTAACAAGCATACAGAAAAAGGTACGGTTTGGATTGTAAAAAAGTGAACCCACCCATGTAACTTTTACCCAGGTCCAAAAATAGAACATCATCACCACATCAGGCTCCCTCCCAGGCCATACCCCCATCCTCCTCTCCAAAGGTAAATGCTACTCTGACTTTTAACATCATTGGTTAGCTTTTTGAATTAAAAAAAAATTATTTTATAATAATTTTAGACTCATAGAAGCTTAAAAAAAGTATGTATTCGTTTTCACTCTGCTCTAAGGATATACCCAAGAGTTAGTAATTTATAAAGGAAAGAGGTTTAATGGACTCACAGTTTCACATGGCTGGGGAGGCCTCACAATCTTGGTAGAAGGCAAAGGAGGAAAAAAGGCATGTTTTACATGGCAGCAGGCAAGAGAGCATGTGCAGTGGGAACTGCCCTTTATGAAACCATCAGATCTAGAGAACAGCACAGGAAAATTCCACCCCCATGATTCACTTACCTCCCACTGGGTCCGTCTCATGACACATGGGGATTATGGGAGCTATAATTCAAGATGAAATTTGGGTTGGGACACAGCTAAACCATATCAAAGTACAAGGAGAACTTGTAAATTGTCTAATTCCCTGAGCTTCCTGTAATGATAATATTTCATATAACCATGGCAAAATGATCACAGCCATGACATTGACATTGGTACAGTAGCATTAACTAAACTTGTGCAGGTTTGTCCCGTGATTGCCTGCACTCATTAAAATTTTATCACATGTGTAGGTGCATATAACCACACCACAATCAGGATACAGAATTGTTCCATCATCCTAAAGAAACGCTCCTGCTACTCCTGTCTAGTCACACAGGTTTCTTACATAATGTTAATTTTTAAGGTCAGACATCCATGCCAAGGCTAGGAATGGCAGCTCATGCCTAAAATCTCAGCACTTTGGGAGGTCAAGGCAGAAGTGTTACTTGAGCCCAGGAGTTCAAGACCTGCCTGGGCAATATGGCAAGACCTCATCTCTAAAAATAAAACATAAAAAATAAATTAGCTAAGTGAGGTGGCATGCCCCTGTAATCCTAGCTACTTGGGAGGCTGAGGCAGGAGGATTGCTTAAGCTTAGGAGGTCAAGGCTGCAGTGAACTATGATTGCGCCACTGTACTGTGGCCTGGGTGACAAAGCAGAGCTGTCTCAAAAACAAAAAAACAAAAAAACTTGCTGAGCAAACTATTTATTTATATTTAAAGAGGCCTCACTGCCTGGCTGCAGATCATTCAGAATAATAATCTGCTGCACATTTGTCTGGCATTTTGTAGTCTGCAATGCAGTCTCTCGTGTGACTTAGCACACTTTTACAGGAGGCAGTTTCTACATACAAGTGGGCTTTTTGATTCCTGGTACGTTTTGGTATTTGATTCCACATGGTAGTTTCCTAGGGCATAATTGTATTAGTTACTTATTGTTGTATGACAGGTTATTCCAAAGTGTACCCTAATGTATACTTGTATTTATTACCTATTGTTGTATAACAAATCACTCTAAAATTTGGCAGCTTAAAATACAAACATGTATTATCTCACACTACTTCTGAGGGTCAGGGCTTGGGAGCAGCTCAGCTGAGTTGCCCAGGGCTGTAGCCAATTCTAGACCAAACCTGGGCCTGGGGAATCTGCTGCTATACTTACTCAGGTTGTTGTAAGCTTCGGCTCCTCTTGGCCAGGGACTTCAGTGTTAACCATATGGGCCTCCCTACTGCTGCTCACAGCATGGCTGCTGGCTTTCCCAGGAGCACATCATCTGAGGGAGTACTCTGAGATGCTCTGAGATGGAAGCCACTGTACTTGTATAGCTTAATCCCAAAAGTGACCTGCCATCAGTTCTGCTGTACTCTGCCCATTAAGAGTGAGTCACTAGGTCCAGCCCACTCTTAAAGGGAGGGAATTAACTTCCTCCTTTTGAAGGGAGAGGTATTAAAGAGTTTGTAGACCCATGTTTGAAACCACCACACTCTTTTGGCCTTGTGTTTTAAAAGGATCTCTTTGATATTTGTTTTACATGAAGTATGATCTTAAAGAAGAGTTAGAGATGATCTTTATGTTAACTCTAAATATCTCACAGTTGTCACATGCTTGGGATTGTCTTCTTTTGTTTGGAAGAAAATTGTGCTATGTGGCTTCCAGAGATGTTTTCCAAGAGGTAAATTTCCTTTGTTCTGGGACACTTAGCTGTCTCTGCTGTCTTTCTGAGGCGCCGGATGATTCTTGGAATGCTGTCTTTCTCAGAATCCAAGAAGTCTGTCAAGAGTTTCTCTGGCTTATTGTTCTTTTTGAGCCTCACAGGGAAATCTTTTGAGTCTTCTTACTTTTCTGGTAGGTTATTTAGCCAACCCAATATATAAATGTCTTCTTTGGCCAGTTCCCAATCTATTTGGCACACAAGACTGAATTTTTTTTTTTTTTTTTTTTTT